CCCAGCTAGCAAGGAAATGGGTGAGGGGCTGGGGGCTGGGGAAGTGTCCCCGTTCAGGCTTGCTCAGATTCCAGGGATATAAACGCTCACAAAACTACTAAGGAAAAAGTGAGCAGTGATATGAGTTGCAGTAGCAGTTGATAGGAGAAATCTGTTAAAATTGATCATTGCCCTGTCAAAATATCAAGGAACTGGCCGACACATTCTGCAAAGTTGTCAGAGCAGATGATATAGCAGAGAAGTGCAGCTATACATTACTTAGCAGCTTCTTTTCCTGCCACTAGCACGTCATCTGCTTCATCTGTGCTGTGACCTGTTGGGGGCACTCAGGTAACAGCAGCAAATTGCTTGCTCCTGCGTTATTGGTTTTCCCTTCCATCCTTCAGATATAGCTGCTATTTTATTCATGAATTGCAATATTACATTTAAACAATTAAACAAGATTTTTTTTAATCACTTTGGGGGCAAGAGGGAAGTTTCTCAGGGATTCATTAGGGAGACTCTGTAATAGTCCACTGTAAGTCATCTTGCTATGTTGATATATTGTAGTGTTTAGGTTTGAATTAAGGTGTTCTCTCTGCTGTCTCTGGCATTGACTTGTTGAATTACCTGCCTTCCACTGCATTTGGACAGAGCCCATATTTAGTGCATCTTTAGCATATTTTTGTAAGCAGTTTGTACTAGCAGTGCTTGTAGAACCATTTACATTTACTTGCAGAGACGTCAGCCTGACAGGGCAAATGGCTACTTCAGGAGACTAACTTTCTTACAGTGTGCTATTTCTCAGTAGCTTCTGACTTAATAAATCTTTCATCCCAATCCTGAGTATATCTCAGTTACTTATGAAATGAAGCAGTTAGCCAGTAGGTTGGGCTGCATTCATTGCGCTGTGGGGAAAAAGATGGATTACGAACAGTGAGATCAAATTGTAAGAGAAAGCTCAGCAGACCTATGGGCAATTAGAAAGCTTCAGGCTTTACCCTTCCTGAGACTGCATGTCCAGCAGACTGTCTTTGTCTTGTACAGACCTTTACGGACTGTGAGAGTCTGTAAAAAGGGGGTCCAAAAGAAAGCAGTTAAAGCTGCTTCTGGAGATTTTTCCTAGCTCAGACTCTCTGGCACCTTCTCAAAGGGTCAAGTATCAAGTGGCGTAGCAATCTGTTGCTAAATCTATTTGTGTTGCATATTAATTTCTCTGGAAGCTGGTTTTATGTGGTAAGTTAGGTATCCATAATGTATATCATGTACCAGGGAAGCTTGTACTCTTCTACTTCACCACACAGACTATGATTACATCTTCCTATAAAATCATCTTTTCACCACCAACTAAACCCTAAAAGATAGACTTTCCAGCTGGAATGCGTTTCCCTGTGACATACATTCCCTCAGGGAACAGAAGACATGAAAACTTTACGTGTCCAGGAGACTACCAAGAAGTTTGACTATTAGAATAAGTGTTTTATTACTACACAACTCCTTTTAGGAAATATTAATCAGCAACGCTTCACACTTCTAGTTAAACATATAGCCTTTTTTTCTCAGCATTAGTTTTCCATCAATGCTTACATTTATATAAAGATATTTCAGATAGACAAGCAGACACATTTTCATGTGGTTTGATCCTGAAAGCCACTCAAAACCTTTCTCTCCTAATGACAACAACAAACATTTTATATGGTCAGCATGTACAGGAAACAAATACTCAGTGAACAAAAGGTAGAGACCAGCGATTTGTTGCTTGGTCTTAATTTGACTGAAATGTGGTTGATAAAGGTAAGAGAGTTGATGAAGCAGACTAAGGTATTTATCTTGCTGCTGTCTGGCATTTCAATTAATTATCTAGTGTGATGCAAAATTGACATGCCATATATTAAGGGTATGAAAACTTAGCTATCTGGCATGTCTAAAATATAACTGTAAATGGGCAATAATTATTAAGCAGATGTGTTTCCAAAAAGGTCCTGAAGGTTTTTATTCTTGGCCTTATGCCATCTAAAATTTTTATCAGAGACTTGAAAGAAAAGTAAGAACATAGAACATCAGTGATAAAGCTTGTAACAGTTTGAGAAGATGAAGTAATGGATATGCACTATGGATCATTGAGTTCATGGAGTTCATGCTGCTGGACTATCTGAACTGCTGGCAAACTGGGTTTAAGCAAACAAATTACTTTACAGCACAGTCACATGTAAAGTTATTTTTCTAGGAACACATTATTGCCCACAATGGCACAGAGTAAGATTTCTGTCTGGGAAGCAGAGTGATGGCTTCTGAGCTGAATCTGAGCTATGCCCACATATGTCCAAAAGCACTAGGACACCTCTTAGGCAAACAAATAGAAATCTCTAGAAGAGAAATCATATTTCTTATTTGGGCAGCCACTGGTTTGACTGGAACCCACAAGTTCCAGTGGGAATTTCCACTTCAAACCCAAAGATTCCTTCCTTCTGTCTGAAACATATTTAGCTGACAGTCTGACTGATAAACAGAATCCCTTTTGTGTTTAAGCAATTTTTTTTAGTCCTGTTCCAGGGCTATGGTGGTTTATTCTGAGCTGCATTCATAGGTTGAGGTAACATTTTATTATGATGATCACCTATTGCCTTGTGACAGACAAAGGGAACTGGAAATGCAAAGGACACTGAGGAATGGGAGATATCCAACATAGGAGGCATGCTGGTGGTGGGAGAGTGGTGGAAGAAAAGAAGCTGGGAATTTTTTGTCTTTCACTACTGAGAGGTATAATAGGATCTAAAGTCTGCAAGTGATTTGTAAACAAAGAATGGATGCTTTTCTAGGCAATATACTCCAGTTTAAACAAGAATTAATCCAAGAAAGTCATGTAATGTGTATTCTAAAGGAGATCAGAACAGATTACCACAATAGTACATTCTGCTTTTATATTCTGGCCTTAAACACATAAGCACTTTAAAAATAAATCAAGATTGGACATGAAGCAGGAATATGTCCCTATTATTCTTTGGCTGTTGCTTGGAGTGGAAGAAAATAAATGATGTTTTATAATACTGAAGTTGTAAGCAGTTTGAATAAAATAGTGTTTAATTATAATTTTTTTCTATCTAGTATGCATGATAACAGAAAAAGACACACTTCAGATCTTTTAAAAAGCAAATATCTAACTAAATAAATATAAGAAATAAATGGATAGTCATGCGAATAAGGATTTTGCCTGAAATTCCTTTCTTTCTTCATTTATATGTATTTTCATTTTTTTTTAATCTTGGTTTCTGCACTAACTTACTTCCTGACTGTCAAAGTGTGTGCTGACTTCAAACAAAATCTACTGTGGTCTTCAGTAGACTCATTATAACAATGCTTTGTAGGGACAGAATATAACTTCAATATTCTTTAAACTTGTATGGGCTAATTGAATAATTCAAGCCTCATGGCAATGGTCACTACTTGCAAAGTCCATCAATTAAAATATGTTGCTCTGTCAGTGGTCATTAGTCAGGCTAAGGTCTACAACTCCAGCTCCACTGGCAAGTGGAGCTGTCAAGTCTGTCTGGTTCAGCCCTCTCTCTCATACTTGCAGTCTCTTGGTTTAGCTGTTCCTTACTTTTCCTTCAAATTTCTCCTTTTGTCCCACTCCTCCTACTCTGCTTAGCTTCACCTCCTCATGCAGCTCATTAAGTGCAGATATTCCTTTATTTGCCAAGCAAGTTTCCATATTTGGTCATTCCCTTCCAGTCCTTGGTCACAGCTCCTTGTCATACCCTTATCCTTATCATTCTGGTTTCTATTCCTAGATTCTTCCATGAGCCAACCCCATCTCTTAGTCTAACCAGGCTTCATCATACTCTGCCCTCCATTTTTCAGGTAGCTATAACCAGTGTCTGGGCCCCATCAATTCTGGTCATAACTCTCTTATTTCCTCTTCCCAAGTCTTCCATCTCACCAGATTCCTGCTGGAATCTAGCCTGTTTGACCTAGCCTGTTTTTTGTCTTTTTTTTTTCCAATTCTTGTCAGATAGACCCTCCCATACTGTCCTTCATGCTGCCTTCTTACAGAGGAAAAGTCAAGTCCCTGAGAAACCTGGCTTGTGACTCTCTATAAAAACTGATGTGGGGGGCTGGTGGAGGAAAATTGGAAGTCTAGAAAATGTTAACAGCAGCCCTTACTGTAATAAAAAAGGGAAAGGAGAAGCAACATGGTGTTCTAGACAATATAATCTCACCTAAAAACTAAGAAATAGGATTTTGAATTGACATCTCAGGAGTTGCTCCTACCTCTGTCATAGCCCTCATACAACCTTGTGCAAGTCCCTTGGTTCATTAAAAGACATGGATATTCTCATGTACCACACACTAATGCTGAGCTTTCAGCCACTAGGTCCCTAGTACCTGCAGCTCTATCTCAGGCAGTCAGGCTTTATAACTAGTACCTTAGAAGGGATACTTCAGAGGCAAAGACAATTTGAATTTCGGAAGCATCAAGCATTTGAAAATTCAACTTGTGTCTCAGAATTTAAGACCATTTCTTAGTATCTCTGTATGTGAATTTCATTATTGACAAAATAACAACTGACCACCCTGTGTTTTAAAGCATTTATGCAAATGTCCCTCTACAGAAATAGTTTTCTGAGTGCAAAGCACAGCTATAATTATGAGAAGCACTCTTTTAAAAGAGAGAAGAGACCACAAAAAGAGATGGATAATATCATGAGTAGCTGTAAGTGCCAATCCCTTAGTCAGACTGTTTGTCTATCTGCTGCTTTAGAGAGTCTGTTTACTGCTGTAGTCAAAAGCTGAAAAACTGTGGCAGGTAGCAGATGTACCAATTAATAACCTGTCAAGGCTGACGGACAGAATGAAAAAAACCCCAACTCTCACAGAGAACTCCTGTGTGGTTTTTTCCCCACATTTCAGGTCATTGGGGGTCATGAGATACACTCTGTCTCCCCGGAGAGAGATGAAACTGTCTCATTAGCGACTATCTTTCATGACATTAAGATGCTGCCTTTCAGATGCTAACTCACCTGTTCTTCTCCCAGAATTCTGAAGTGATGAAGCTCTTTAATCAAGGAATCTGGACAGCCAGCTGTTGGAAAGAAACAAAACCAAGCATTTTAGAGCTTTCTGTCAGTGCAGTTTCGGCACAAGACACATACACGAAGAGAGGATAGAACATACAGATTACTTCAGATAAAGGAGATTAGAAAGATTAGCCACGGTTCTACAGGCACCAGAATGCTGAAAGCCCTCTATCAAATAATCCTTCCACATTTCTGAGTGTGCTACCAAGAACACTTAGAAAGGTTATATTCCGAATATTTTAGCCCTTTTCCCAAAGGACTACAAACAAAAGCAAGATGAAAAGGGCAGCACTGTCTGCCAGATACTGCCAACCCTTAGTGTAAGCCAGAAAGCCTGTTAAAAGAGGATCTCACATCAAAACACTTGAGCTGCCCAAAGCTGAATTCTGATTCACATACCAGGTTTGGACTCATTTCTAAGCATAATACAGGCTTCCCCTGATTCCCTGAAGGATTTCAGAGGCCCCACAGATCACTTTAATTTTGGCTGTCATAAATATAAACCATTTCACATATATGTAGTTGTTATCCACACGTGTTTATACGCAAACCAAGTACACAGGCGGGGGGAATGATTTGCCAGAACTTTGCAGTGAGATTAATGTTCAGTCACTACAGACTTTCACATCTGTACCAGCCAATAAGAAAGAATATGTCTTGCTATCTGCCATGCACTTTATTGACCTGTTCAGACTCTGGTTATCTTCCTGATGATGAAATCCAAGGCTGTTGTACACCACTTTTGTACATTACCAGACTAATTTCTGACAAGGGATGAAAGTGCAGACTGTGAAAGCAATCTGGGCTTTATTCTTTTTACCATAAATTGAAGCATCTGCTGTTGAAGAGAGAAAATTACTTATAAGGAATTAAAAGCATAGTTCTCTGCAGAACATGGGAACTATGATCTTTAACAACCTGCTTTTCTGTTGATGCAACTACAAATAGCTACCTGTCAGTCTTAATGACTGCCATTAAAAGGATACAAATTAATTTGGCCATGTCAGGAAATCTCTGTCAGCACTGTGGCTTTACTCAGAGCCAATGAGACATGGCCTACACTCACAACTTCTGTTGGCATATCTGTCTTATGGATATAGAAGGAAAAGCCTTTGCACTTGAAAGTAACAACTAAAAAGGCAAAAAACATGCTATAGACACAATTATATTAGTACAAGTCTTGTACCGGTATAACTTTTCCTACTTAGGGAAGAGAGTTAAATGATATTCAAATCAGCTTCTTGCTGGTAAATGTTTTATCTCCATTTAGAGGAGGTACAGTTGGAGAATGTACCATCTACACAATTTCATCAGCAAACCCTTACAAAAGTAGACAAGTTTTAAGGTGGCCCAGTGTTAAGCATATAGTAAGAATTGTCTATTAACAACTTGTCTTATTAAATATTAAGATTTCTTCGCATTCAATAAAATCTATGATATTCTTATAGGTTTCTTTTCACCCATCTCTTCCCTCCTCTTGCATACAACGATATTCACATATTTGAATGTGTGAGTTTTAGCTCTAAGTGATTCTTTGTTAATGCATCTTTATTCTCCTCAACCTGTAGGACCACAACACATGTATCACCTTTAATTTTCTCTTATTATTTTCTCCATGCTTAGGCTCTCAGTGTTTATTCTGTTTCTTGTTCTAATGCACTTAAAGTTGTCCTTGCTACTCCTACAACAGAATCACTGCTGCACAGCATTTTTCTGTCCTTTTCACTGGGATTTACATCTCCATCTTCCAGCTCATCCAAACCACGAATGTATCAACTCTGTCTCACTAACTTCTTGACCTGAGGCCTGACTTGCAGTTCAGAGCTGTTTTCTTCTCTGTGTTTCAAATTAGAATTTAATGTCTAAAACCTGATGTTTTCCTTATGAGGGTGGTGAATCATGGGAACAGGTTGCCCAGAGAGGTGGTGGGTGCCCCATCTCTGCAAACATTCAAGGTCAGGTTGGACAGAGCTCTTCACAACCTGATCTAATTGAAGATTGCAGGGGGGCTGGACTAGATGACCTTTAAATGTCCCCTCCAACTCAAACTATTCTATGATGCTACGAAAAACATGCATGTTCAAGTGTTACTAGTCATCCACTGCTGCATCCTCTTCCCAGTACAATATTTTGTATAGTCTGTTTTTCAGAGACTTGTCTGATTTAGTCTTCAATCTTTTCAGAGTTCAGACTTTCACTGGATCCTGCTTAGCTGATTATACAACAGATCCTAAAGTTACTAGCAAAGGAGAGAGAGCTTAAAAACTATGTTACTGTCGGCATGATGCTTTCCAGCACTGAGTTCAGAAATGTCAAATGCATGCAATATTGAATCATACTGACACATCTTAACAGTCTGCTGTCTGTAAAAAGTAATTTCAGACTGTCACATTTCAGCAGCAATAATTTCAAGAAAAAAAAAATCTTCCTTTTCTTTTCTTTTTTTTTTTTTTGTATTCCTGAATGTATTTCTGATGCTTACCATTTCTACTTTAATTTCTCCTGTTCTGTAAGTGGACCTTTGTAAAACACGGCATAACACTGTAATCTATTTTTACCATGTATCTGTGAGTTTTGAAAAAGTCCTGGATTATGTTAAATTCCTGCACTCTGACTAGAGACAAAGGTAATGGACAAATAACCATCCCATAAACAAAAAGTAAAGAGATTAAAACAAATACCTATTCTGCTAAAAACATTAAGAACTATTTGTCATCTCACCCATGAAATTGTCCATATACCCATCAACATATTCCTGTATATGAAATACACATGTGGCAACTTGAAAATTATTATTAGTTAAGCACAGCACCTGACGGGTTCACTGGCAAACCGTATACACCAAACATATACAGAAAAATGTATTTATAAATCTCTGATGTGCAGCTAGCACATGCCAAATGACATAAATAATCTGCACTTTGTAGATTTCTATTTTGTATAGAATGCTTTGAGGATCAGTTTTTATGCCCTCTGTAGTACAGAACCCCTTATAATCAGTGGTCTCAACAATTACTGAAACTTTCCATTTCCCTCTTTTGAAATATTACTTGAAAAGTGCAAGCCTTCATGAAATTTCCACAGACATAAACCGAACTGGAGTATTAAATAAATCGATCGACAATTACACATAAGAGTGTTAAAAGGAAATGATGCAAAAGCATGGACAACTGCCTTTAATCAGAAGCCAAAACTCAGGATTGAGGACATCTGCAGACTGATAAAATGGCAGCTAAATTGCTTATTAGTTTCCTCTTTCAACTCACATTCAAACCTATGTGTTTCATATGTTCTCAGCTACAATGACTGTTTCAGGTTTCTGCTATCTGTGAAGTCAGAGCAAGATGTAAGAAATATAAAATTGATGCAAGTATTTAATATTTTTATACCACTTTTTCCTCTGTCATAGCTCCATTGACCTCAAAGCAATCAGATCCATAAAACTAATGCGATGTCTTAGGAATGAGCCTGAGTCTAAGCAGGAAGCTGAATTATGAAGGGCTGATATCATGTTCAAAGCACCAGCAGCTTTATAAACTCACAACAAGTAATTTCTTTGCCTCTATTTAAGTATTTATTACTTATATTAAATTTAAGCGTATTATTTGCTTCTAAATGTTAATCATATCCCAGATTACTTGTTTGAATAATTTTGTTCTTGCTTGATTCCCATATTGATTTACTATTTAACTCCAAATGCTGCACTTAGGAATGAAAGGTATATTTAAAGTTACAGAAATTTGCAACTGTAAATTTACAATTTATGTTCTGGTATTCTCTTCCTAAAGATACTTTTAATCTGTTCATGTGAGAATATATATCTCAAAGAGAAGAATAAAGAACCAAATTTAGGAAGGACAGTTTAATGCCTCCTAACATCATAAATTCCTTGATTTCAACTGCTCTGAACAAACATTTTCAGCTACACATATAATTAAACTATGATTCTAACTATTTAATTACCCAAATCTTCACATATTTTTTTTCTCAGACAGAATTAGCTTCTGGTTTTGTTTTTGCTTAAAATTGTCACTTTGTATGGAGAACTTATGTTCTCCAGAGAGAAGGCAATTGAAAAATTAAATCAACCCTTTAATCTTGCATAAATTGGCACAATGAAAGCAAAAAAATGACTGCTGATACAAATACGGCCAACTGAGAACTAACACAAGTGTCAGGGCCCTGGTGGTACCACCAGCCCTGACTTTCCCAACCTAGGACCCCATGTCAGCCCCTGAGTCACCCTCCTACACCAGGATTCATTTCCAGCTCCCCATAGCCCTCCCCTCCCCAGCCATGGGCACCAGGGAGGTGCTGAATGTCTGGGTCTGGGACTATCCTGTTACTCCTGTCTGCCTGCACTGGATGGAGGCACCCTGGCTGAATTTTAGCCTCAGAGAATCACAGAAAATCATAAAATTGGACTTGATGATCCTTGTGGGTCCCTTCCAGCTTAGCATATTTTGTGAAAATGTCTTCACTGACCATAGTTACAAACATACATATTCCCATTGCAGGATTCTGTGCTACATATTTTACCATACGTTTGCAGCATTATTTTATGATTTGCATTTTAAATTTCATCTTTCCCAAAATGGTACAGTTGGGTGAGATTCAATTCAATGCATTTAAGCATCAAAATGTTGGCTGTATGAATCTAATATCTTGCACGCTTCTTTATCTATTCTTCTATATCTAATAGGGCATGCTTCCTTTTTAGTCCATTGAAGGAATATACACCTTCACAGGGTAATTCCCATGATTAAGACAAGCACAAAAAAAAGTATACACTTATCTCCATTAACTGAGTAGTCTAAGGCGATTTGGCAAGATTTACACAAGTAACTTTTAGACTTTTAAAGTTATATTATTTGAATTTCACCCAACAGCTCCAATCCCAATCACTTCCACACGTTTAACTTTGAGCATGTAAATTTTGCCTCGTATTTAGCTTCATGCAAACCGAGCATTTACATTATGGACACAGCACAACTTTCATTTCTCT